TTGTTCTGTCAAATCAAAATACATAATTTAGTTCCGTTCCAGAACGTAAAAGAATCTACTAATTTTACAAGTTTTGCAAATTTTACAACTGGTAAAACATTGAACCAAATTTAAGAGAATACAACCGAAAATGGCATTCTCTTTGTAAACTTGCTACTCGAAAAATTTGTCCGAGTAAAAATGGTAAGTCTTGATTTAGATTAGGCGAGTTTACTTGCGACAAGTCTTTGTTTTTAGGAGAGAGGGGCAAGGGGAATAGAAATGAAAAAAAAAAATTGCTCGTACCGACAATTTTCTGGCAATGCGTTTTGTGTATTTCGTATTTGTTTATTTAAATGTGAAAAAACAACAAATACGTCGACGTACGAATTTTCAAAGTTAAAAAATTCAACTATGACAGAACGTATTTTTGTTTATTTCTTTTGTTTAAAAAAGAAACAAAACATAAAAAAATATAATTTTTTTTTCAATAAGAATATGAAACATTTGAACACATTTTATAATTTCTTAATTTTATTACGCGATTTTGTTTAGTTCGCTAAGAGAAATGGATTCGACGTATTTGGGTAATACGGCCGTACAAAACATTTTGCCATAGTGGAGAAGTTGAATATTTTTGTACGCTTCGTTGAATTTTAGGTAACGTTGTTAAATACATATCAAACATATCAAGTAAAATAAAAATAACTGAAATATATTTAATTTGAAAACATGTTGTTAAAGCAGTTGAATATTTTTGTACGCTTCGTTGAATTTTAGGTAACGTTGTTAAATACATATCAAACATATCAAGTAAAATAAAAATAAATGAAACATATTTAATTTGAAAACATGTTGTACGTTTACATTGTACCGGATTTCGTTAACCCACTTGGTTTGTATACATGCCAAATAAATCCTCATAGAGTAGGTTAACCCGGTAAAAAGCTCTAATGTAAATGCCGATTAGTCTCAAAGAAAATACTCTGTCATATGTGAAATAACAACTTTTCGCATTTTTATTGAAATGTGATTCATTTGCACCTAAGGAAAATGAATCACATTTCCTAAAACTAACAAAATGAGTATATAAATGCGCTATCGCCTCAATCGCACAGCCGTATGTTTTCAACACAAGGTCGGCTGACATGCAATAAATAAGAAAATAATTGTTTGCTTACCTGTGAACACCCCGTCATTTTTGAACAACATTCACGCATAGCGTATGAAACGCTTTACGCCGTCACTTAGGTTCACCACAGCGCGTATGAATTTCCTGTCTGTTATGTTGGCTGCACTGCTTTGGATTTTCGAGTACCCAAATAGAGCTGCTATTTTCACTTCGTTTTTATTATTCGATCGAAGAGTCATGTAAGAGGTTCGGAAGAGGCGTTCAATACGCATTATTATACACACAACATTAAAAAAATTAATAAAAGTAAAAATCCAAAAAAAGAAAATTAAAGCAAATTTGAATTCAAGTAAATAGTGATCAATCTGTTATAATTATTATCAATTAAATGTAATTTGTAATAAGTGATAACAAGCAAATCAAATTCAATCCATCACCAACAACAACAATAACGTCAAGTCACATTCGTATGTTTGTGCACATCATCTCCATAGAAAGAAAGATATTTTTAGTATATGCATACATAAGTACATATGTATGTCTGTGCGTGCGTATGTATCCATAAAAAGAAAATAAAAGCAAAGAAAACAACACAAATAGTACAACGAGTGAAGCTAACAAATTTATGCAAATTTCATTAACAACAACAAGAAGAAACAAATTGGGCCAAAAAAAAAAAAAACAAAAAAAGAAGACGGTTTTTAATTCGTTTAATCGACGGGATACAGACGTTGAAAATATTTTCGATAAAACATTTCGACGACTGTAGGTCTAGTAGTGTGTCGTTCGGACGGAAATTTTGGCCAACGGGAAGTAATTTGGAGACGGAAACACCACCACCAAACTCCACAATCAACCGACCAACAATTCGGAGCACAAAAATCAGTAGTTTTCAGTGTTTGTGCGTGCGTGTTTTGACAGCAATCACCTCACCATTAATGCAATATTTCATTTCTTTTCATCGCGAAATTCAAAGTGTGATTATTTTATTATTGTTCGGTACCTTCAAACAGAAAGAAAGAAAAATAATCGAGGTTGAGAAACAATTTTCTATACACTACAGAAAAGAAAAAGACGAAGAAACGAATACAATAACATTTCGAGAGAGTGTGTGTTTGTGTGTGTGATAATAATAATCACGAAACGCCAAGGTAGAGTGCGAGAAAAACACTTTGGAACAAGTTTTTTAGAAGAAAATTTCCTCAAGTTTCGTAAATTTTTTGTGATATTCGAAAAATTTCCCTCTACGTAACGTCGAAGGTGATTTCTTTATTTCATTTTTTTTTCGTTAATGCGACACGACAACAGCAACAACAAGTGCGCTATAGTCATCTTACTTTACTCTGCTCTGGGAATTTGTTACAAATTTACAAGAGAGAAAGAGATAGCAAGCAAGTGTTTTATGTTTAGATAAAACGACATATAGCGATTGAGCAAAATTAAAAAAATAAATGAAAAATTAAAATTAAATTGAAAAACTGTTAAAACCACCACCACCACCACCAAATTAAAAACAACGACTGGGAAGCTAAATGGTTTACAAAGTTCCAAGTAAGTCCATCCTCGGCAAAATATTCCTACAATTTCTTTGACAAAAAGTGAATACATTTTTTTATTTTGAAAAACAAAACAAGAAATAAAATAAAAATATTGAATAATTAAACCTGGTGGTGGTGTTTAGATTTGTTGGAAAATATTTTCGACATTTGTTTTTTTTTTTATTTATTTGCACCACCATTAAGAAATCTATTTGAAATCACGTTTTCAGTATATCAGTAAAACTGGCAACGTAGCACTTTGTATTGCACACACACACACACAAACAAACACACATCCATATCCACACAAACATGGGGAAACTACAAAACATAGCGTATACGACGCGCTCTGGCTCAAAAACAAGAAAAAACAAAACACCACACAAAATGCTACGTTGTCGAATTTCAAGGGATACCCAACTGTGCTGTGGCGGAGTGGTTGTTATTTTGCTTTTTTTTTACCCAGTAGTCGTAAGACAAAAAAAAAAAAAACAGATTTGTGACAAGTTTTTTTTTTGTTACAATTATTTTACACTGCAATTATTTGTAACCACTATTTTCTTCCTTCTTCGTTTGGCTTTTCAAACACGAATGCCAACTCTTGACTTTTTTGTGAGAGTTTGGATGTCAGTGATTCAGTATTGAGAATTATTGCCGATAATTTAATAGCTATATGTCACAGTAATAATGTCCTGTATATTAAAATATTCAATTCACTGTGTAAAAAAATAGAACAGCGAAATATTTTTTCATAAAAAATATAGATATAATTAAAAATAAATATCGGTATAACATGCAATTTTAGAACTATATTGTTGTTCTCATTCATATTATATAATTTGAAAATTCTCTGCCTTTTTTTACAGTATTTTTTGGCATAAAAAATATAAAAGCGGCGGCAATATATCAGAGAGATAGCGATTCTGTGATTTTTTTCGTTTACTGGGTACAAACAATTAGAAAGTAATAATAACAATAATGGACAATGTAAAAGATACGAAATGATATGAGAAGTTAATAAAAGTAATTTAATTATGTTTATAAATGTAGGCAGGGAATGAATTTTAGTCCTACCCTCCCTCCCTATGGCTTATTTCTAAGGTATAACATATTTCGAATACGGTTTGCGGAGGCTTTTATTTTCTTTTTTTTTTGGTACATAGGCCCCACATTTTGGTCTATGTATTACAAACTGGATTTTATTTTTATTGCCATAATTTAACCTTTGTATAATATTTAAATTTTGTTTTGTATATGATGTATGTGTGTGATTATATATTTCCTATTTATGTTCATTATTTACAAAGTATTTGTTTCTTTTCTTTCTTTTTGATCTTTTTCGATTTGTCTGTCGCCTCCATTGATTTGATTGGGGTGGCATTGCTTGAAAATTCCGTTCCGTTACCACTTACCTACCACCATAACCATTAAGCAGGACCACAAGTAAATGCGCATTAGCATACAACAACACCAACCAAGCAGATTCAGAAGAAGAAGATAGATACCATTTTGACAAGAAAAATCTTTAACGTTAAGCCATAAAGAGGTTGACGAACGACGCTATCATTATCGCATCTAACAAACCAAACCCTTCCCTCCTTAAAGCAGCGGCAAGCAAAACACAAAGATACAAAGAAGGAGAATCAGCTAGCAAAAAAGGACGATCGGAAGGAGACGAAGTCTGAAATAGAAGCGTTGACTCTGCAAGCATATTGAATAAGAATAAGAAGAAGGAAATTCAAAAAGATAAATCAACAGACTGATTAATTAATTTAAAAGTACAGAGTATAATAAATAATAATTTATACCTACATAATATTATAATACAACAAAAACAAAAAGAATATATAAAAGAATTTATATATAAAATAAATAATAATAATACTGTAAATACTGTAAGGCGAGAAGAAGAAGAAGAAGTAGAGTGCAGCAGACGGCGTCAAGAGACGACGGTGACGACGAAGACGACGAGAAGTACAAGGGCAGCAGAGAGCAGCAACAGCTGAGACAGCCGTTAATAGTAAAGTGCTGGATACAGATCGACCGAAAATCACAACAGCAGCTGTCTGTCTGTGCAAAACAGTTTGACTCGAAGTGAAGTGCAAATAAGGACAGAACGAACGAAGGAATGCCCATTTATATTTTAAATAAGCGTTGATTTTATTGTGTGTGATATTTAAACTTTAAGCATTAATTTAACAAAAACAAACAACAAAAACCAGCATAAGCATAAACAACAAAATCAAGAAATTACCCAACAAAAATAATAAAAAACAACAACAAGAATAAGAACAGCAGCAGCCAAGATACCAATACACTAATTGTGATTGGAGTAGATACAGAAGTGTAGCAGCATCATCATCATCACCAACAGTATAATTGAGTCCAAGCGACCAGCAAAAATAATACCTACAACAATTGTACTATGACATACTCGCACAATAGCGTTAGTAAGAATCTGAAAATGACAACAGCAGCAGCAGCAACCGCAGCGGCGACGATACAACAACAACAACGTTCGAAAAAAGTGCCGCATGGTGGAGGAGGCAGTAACATTTCACCACCATCAACACCACCCCTAAGTGCACATTCCAACAGTATTGCTAGCAGTACAAATTACTACAACCATCCCCATTACCAACAACAGCAGCACCAGCTGAGCTGTTCGCCTCCAGGGTGCCCCATGTCATCGGCCATTTCGACCAGCTCCAATTGTAGCAGCAGTTCCGGTGTATCCTCGTTGGGATCCTCCTCGGGTAATGGCAGTGGCAGTTACTTTGCTTCCGCACGCAAACAGCAACAGCGTAATTGGCAGCAGCAACAACAACAGAGGCGGTCACCTCAAAACAACACAAGTAATGCCAGCAGCAGCAACAACGATGGTAATAGCTTTTACAACAACCACAACAGCAGCAAGCGCTACAGCGGCGGCAGTGGCCAAAAGCACCGTGACGGTCAACGATCGCCTCAGGGAGGCCATGCAACACGCCAATCGCCCGCCTCGATTTTGGGTGGCGGCGTTAGTCCTTCATCGCCCATTGCCATAGGCAGCAATCCCAACTCGGCCCGCAAGTCGCGTTCGAAGCACTCGAGTCCATTGTTGTGTGTCGGTGGCAAGATCTCACCCACTCATCCACTCATACCCACCGCCTTGACGCACTTCGCTGGCAGCAAGTGCTTCGATGCTCCGGCCCCCACGGCATTGCCTAAACCCCCCGAGCACTGGACACTGAGCAAAAGCGAGGAGAAGGTCGACAGCAGTGCTGGTCCCGGCCTACAAAGTGTGTTGAGCGCGGCGGTTCGCTCGCACAATCACCACCATCACAACAGCGGCCACCATCATCTACATCACTCCAGTGCAACCCATGCCGTCGATGCGCACACCTATGGCGGCCACGTTGTCAAGTCGTCGAAACGCAACCTCCTCGACGACTTTGATACGCACAATTTGAAATTGTTGCTCAACGTGCAATCATAACCGCCCACCTGCGGCCCCGATCATCATCACATTTGTTTTTTGCCAATACAACTTAAACAACAACAAAAACAACAGTCCACAACAACCAATAACCAAACAGAATAGAAAACTCAGCAAAAACTATTTTTTTTTCTTTCACATCCGAAAAAGCTACTCCCCCTCATGTCGTCGTGAACAAACTACAATAACAACTCTAGAAGTGCTTGTGATCTCAAGAATATTACAAAGTCACACTATAAAAAAAAAACATTTAAAAAAAGAAACAATAACAACATTAAATTATTTAACACTACCAGATAATGAACAAATATAAAATACAGACAAAACGGACATCCATCCCTCTTTCGTTTTTACGCTAAGCCAAAATACACAAAAACAAAACAAAAAACGGAAAAAAATAAAATTGCCAAGAATGCAAAATTCACCAAAACAACAAAAACCAACCAACTCTGTATGACAACCAACCACAACTGTGAACAATTTAATAATTTTATTTAAAACAATATCAAAAATTCAAAAAAAGAAAAAGAAAAAGAAGAAAAGAAAAACTTTAAAATCTACAAAAGTGCTATAAACTAAACTACGACTACACTGCAGACCAACCCAAAAATACCATTTTGTAAATGCCGTTTCGATCGTGTGATATAATACCTATAGACTAAGATGAAATGTGTACAGAAATCTCTCTACACACTGTGATTTCGGAAATTAAATTAAAAATAATAATAAAAACTACAACAACAAAAACAAATGTAATAAAAAAGGGACCTTGTGTTTGTTTTAAAAACAAAGAAACAGGTTACCAAAGGCAACGGCTCTATAGTAAAGCAACGTCAATAGCGCACAGGCCATACAACAGGATGTGTCCTCCGTGTTACGCAGCAGCAGCAATTCATTCATTAGCTCCAAACAAGTTTATTAGCCCACCAAATATCCGAAAAAAACGAACTAACTAACTAAAAAAATTTTGAAACAATACTACGTAAAAAAAGACTTGAGGCAAAAGTGTAATGCATTTTTAAGGCAAATTTTAAAGCAAATATTTGGACACACCTGTTTGTTGGCTGGTTTCTATCTGTGATGGTGGCGCAGGCTCAAGGCGGTCAAAGGGACCAGCAACCATACCTACCTATCGAACAACCGAAACAGTCGACTCATGGCCAGAGCTTTTGACAACAACGACAAAAACAACAACAACAATATTAAACCAACAACCCCCAGGCAGGCAGCAAAGAAAGCAACAGCAGCAGCAGTAATCAATAGCAGGCCCCACAACACCACTATTGTATTAGAGCAGATTCGAATTCCTCCAGTTCAAAACTTTAAAAGAGAATGCTAGCTACTCTTACTATGTATGTATGTATCTAACAGAAAGAAAAACCAACAGAAAAATCTTCCAAACATTTGTTATTATTTTTTGGAAATATTCATTTTTTATTTATATAAGTATTCATGTGTAGTAATCAAGACCACAAGGTTTGGTGACAGGTCGGAGCGCAGGCGAGATGCAAGAGAGGCAGACGGTCTAGTTCATTTTGGGTTTGCCACTAACTAGGCCTCCTCCTCCTCCTAACGATGCAAGTCGTCTGCGTTCAGACCTACACCAAACTTATTTGTTGTTTTTTGCAATATTTTTTAAAAGAAAAAAATTGTAGAGAAATTCAATTACAATCAGTCATATCATGTATTTATTTATATAGTATACTACAATTTTATACAAGTCTTCATAATTGAAAAATACAATCCTCGACCCCATTACCATCCCGACCCCTCAACCTCCCCCTCCCCAGTCCTCCTGATACTCTCCTTGATTTTTATTTTAGAATTTTTATTATTATTTTTTCTTTTGTAAATTAAAACTTTACCAAAAACAGCGTGTAAAACAATTGCCTCCATTTGCAATGGAATCGATTTTGAGTTCTTCAGACTTTGTGTTCGATTTTTTGTGTATAATAACTATATAGATATGTATGTATGTAATGTAATGGCAAATGCTTCCATTGCAGAGGCGGGGCTTTTGTTAAGTGATCACTTTTTTTAAGGTAAAAGGCGAGGGGTGGTCGTTTTAAAAACGACTCCCCCTCGGCCTTGTGTAATTAGAGATATAATGTAATTTTGTAAATTTATATATATATTCTCTCTTATTATACTTTTACTATTTTCTCTTATTTCTTTTTTGTTTTTCTTCGTAAAAATACAAAAGCCTAAAAAACTATCAATTCGATTAGAATTCCGGTTGTCTTGCGGATGCCACATGTTTGTTGTGGCAAGTCCATTAAGATCACGCGAGAATTAATGTTAGAATTATTAACAACTAAAAGGAAAAAGAAGAAGAGCAACTGAAAAGTATTTATTTTAATACTGTAACTATATATGCATATACATTTAAATTATTTGTATTTTGATTGAATGATGTGGTAATAGATATACATATATATATATATATACATAACTTATATTTAAGCTTTTTAATCCTAAAACCATTTCCTTACTCTATCCCCCCAAAAACCCATGCTCCCTACCTACCTAACTTGCCCACGTCCCACTGTGTTGTATACTATATATGGCCCCCGCCCACCCCCTCTCACCCCCCAACAACTATAACTATTTTTGTCTATATATAAATATTATAGTTTTGAATGACTTGTGTAATTTTTCTAAAACGAATGAAAGAAAAGAAAAACAACAACAACAATGAAACCAACAAAACTTTTACCCAGTACCTTGTTTTTTGTTAGCATTTAATATTAATATAAATTATTAATTAAAAATCCCACAAAAACACACTGAAAAACAAAGTGTTTATATTAATACTATCCTAAAATACGATGATGTACTACAATGATATGTTGAAGAAGAAGAAGAAATGAAAAAGAAAAAGATAAGAAAAATAACTACAATAACATTGAAATCTGCACAATAATGAAAAAAAAAAAATGAAATAACCTTCTGCTGTTGCCAAACCAAATGTGATTACGTTAGAAGCCCAGAAATGTAGAAAAGAAAAGGGAACTGATTGTGGAAACAACGGACATGTGGCGAGTCGTCATAGTATTATTGTAATTATTAGGCAATTTTAATGCCGACACTAATCTGGGGCGACTCGTCACATGTCCGTCCCGCCCAAAGAGACCCCCACTAATTGAAGACAAACAAAAACACAAATTGCGAGCCAAAAACAAAAATGCACTTCGTTTTGTACAAATCCAAACAAACAAGAAAAAAAAAAAAACAAAAAAAAAAAATTAAATTGTTTAGTTTTTTAAGTGTTGTTGGTTCTTAATTGCCATTTTTGTACATTTTAAAGTTTTTTTTTTTTGAATGTCCCTTAAAAACCTACCTACCTACCAACCCCCCAAAGTCCCTATTTTAAATGAAATTATTAAAACGTGATATTTGTATGCAATCTTAAACTGTGAGGAGCAGTGCTCTATCACAAAATTTTCAAAAAAAAAAAAAAAAAAAAAAAAAAACAAAACAAAAAGAAAAGAAAAAACAAAGAATTTTGCATTTTTTTATTTTAAGTTTCTCTTGTCGTCTACACTACTATATAAATATCTACTCCTATTTTTAACTATCAATGTTCAAAGTAATTATATATATTTTTTTAACTTTTCTTCCAACAAAAACAAACCAGCATCTCATGTTAAGCCTCCTCGTAGGATCTTGTGTTCAATATTAATAATAATAATTATAAAAAATATAATAAAAAACAAATAAATAATAATAATAATACAAGTAAAAAAATTATTACTCTTAAACACCAAAAGTACAAAATTCTATAAAAAGAAATCTTTTTTCTTAAGAGATAAAACAAAACACAAGATCGTATCTGCAGGCTTGTTGATGTTCTCTTTTTTTAATATGATTCTCCTCCTATAATTTATCCTTTGGCTAATTTTTGTTCGAATGCAATATATTTCTTACACTAGCTCTTTCTTTCCTATCAATTTTAAATTTTTTTTTCACATAAAATACAGCTTTTAATTTTTAATTTTTTTTTTTATTATTTCATAACGAAATTGAAAACAAGCTTTAACAAAGACTTAAATACACACACACTGATATATACTATAATTATTAATTAATTATAATTATTATTAAAGAAAAGTATATCAAAAATGTAAAAGGTTTTAAAAAACATCGTAAAACTTAAAAACAAAAACAACACTGCTTACTTCTATAAAAAACAACAAAAACACAATCAACTCAAGAACCTAAAACTAATTTTAGGAAGTCCGAAATTATCTATGCTCTTAAGAAGTGGGGAATTTCCAAAAAAATGAATCTATATTGTATTAGAAAAATGGCCAAAACTTGTTAATTGAACTCTAAGAGTTCCTTTAATAATTAAAAACTTGGTTGATTGTAGAGTAAAATGTAAAAAAAAACTAAGAAAAAATATATTTTTCACTCCTTAATAGTATACATAATTAAAGACCGACCGAACACCACCACCATACAAATTGTATATGTTTGAGTGTATTCATTAATGGAAATATACTCGGATACAAACGTTTCGTTTTTTTTTAGTTGGAAGAACGGAAAAGAAAATCGACAACAACAAATACCATTGAGTTTAATTTTTAGTTTCTTTTTATTTTATTATTATTTTATTATTATTTTATTTTTTACAAAACATGTACTTCCAACAACGAGAAATGGAAGCCCAAATTCAAAGCTATTCCAAACGACCGACCAACCAACCAAACACTCCCACACGCAACATTTTATTTTGAAAATTCGATATGAACTGCATAAAAAGTGAATATTTTTTCCGATTGCATTTATAAAATAAGTCATATTATTTACTACTTGTTGTCGTTGTTGTATTGTTGTGTCGTCTCGGAGACTAGCTTTGGATTTTGGCATCCACGTCTTCTTTCAAATTGTTAAAATTAAAGTAAATATGCAATTATGTGTGATAATTTTATAAACGATCATGTGTAAAACAAAAAATTCAACCCAACCCAACAATTGATGATGAACACAATAAGAAATTGTCTGATAATAAAAGCCCAAAATAAAT